GTCTGAGCTATGTTGACTGAAGAATTAGCTGTCTGAGCAGCCTTCTTGACCTTTTTAAAAGAATTCAATCAAAAGTATATTTCCTTCATAATTGAATGAATACTCAATATGACAGATTTTGATTTAAACTCTTGTGCCTCTTCAATTTTCTTTTGCATATAGTTTCATCATATATTGAGAAGTGTAGAATAAAACACATGAAATACTATATTATTTGACATTAAAATATTGAGTATTTTCAATTTCATAATAATGTTATTGAACTTATTGAAAAATATGTGTATATCAGTGACTTAGATATCATTTATTAATATAAACACTAGAACTACTTTCTTGCAAAGCTGCATTCTCAGAATGAAGAACTTCTTCTCAACTGTGTATCAAAAAAAATAAGTAATTCTGTTCTCATCATACTTATTAAAACAAAGTCTAATGCTGGCTATTAACATATTCAAAATAAATATGTAAAGCTAGTAATTTTTGACCTCTCAAAAAGAAGCTCATTTAAGGTCTTCATCAGGGCTTTTGACTTGCTTGTCCTTTAATATAACCCAGCATTGAGTGTCAATTAGCTTGGCCTTCATATTTGCATGTCAGAAGAGGTAATTTGAAGATCTAATCAGAGTATTCAGCTTGATGGCATACTTAGTATTCTGTTTAAACTAGCTGATTGCTTTGCTGATACAGCTATTCAAATTGTAAAGATTATATTGCATTTAGAATCTCAAGTTCAAATCTCATGCTGACAGTTAATCTGTCAGTGAATTTACAAACATCACAGCTCTGTCATTCTGAGTGTGAAGCCTCTTCAATTGAAGTTGAAGCTGCAATTCTTTGCACCTCTCTTTTTGAAGTTCTAAATCAATTTTTTAATGTTTGAGATTCAATCTCCTCAGTTGCAATTCTTTGAAGTTGGTTGCCAGTGACAGGTTAGAGGTTACTGCAGATGTCTTCATCTCATCTTTTGAAGAAGTCAGATCAGCATATTTGACATGATGTAGATGAACTGGCCTCATCATAATAGAGGCTGTAATCAGCCCAGCTTGTCAATCAGACATTCCAGAAGGTTCAATATTGAAACTTTTGAATGCCTCTGAGGGGGTTAATAAGCTCAGACCTCTCTAATCATTTTCAAATCAATCAGATTGACTGAATTGACTTGATCATGATTGTAAGTGAGTCATCATATGTTCTATCATATCATATTAATCTTCTTTATAATGAAGTAATCTTATTCAGTGAGATTCTTATCTATAAGCTTGATTGAGTGAATTGACACATTTTTATGTGATCAGTCACTGAAAAATTAGTGAGTTGCAGATTTTTTTTTAATCAGCTAGGCAAACAGATTGAACATAGAAAAAAAATAATAATATAAAAATATATCAAATCAAGCAATTGATATAAAATAAGATAATATTATATTGAATGAAGTAAGTAGTGATTAATATACACTATATTTAGCAAGAATTCTCTGAATTGATAATTATTTGTGTAAAACAGATCTTATAATCTATGAAGAATAGATTATTTGATTGATTATGAAGCAATCACTAGCTACACAGAAGTTAAATACAGTGTAGATTATATAAGAAGACAAATAGATCTAACAGTTTTAATATTCATTTAATTTTATTGAATACTTTTTCTTATTGTTCATACTGAGATTATCTTAAAAATAGAAGAAAAGATATTTATAAAAAGTAAAAAATACATAAGTTAAAATTACAATATTTAATATCTATAAATTATAGAATGAAGATTAAACCTAGTTAAATATAATTAAAAAAAGTAAATTAAATAAAATATACTTTTAAAATATTTTATAAAGTTGATTTTTAAATAATTTTTGAACAAATTTAAAAGAATTTAATTAAGTTAAATTTAAATTATAAATTAATTTTATATTTATTTTTAATATTTTTTTTTAAAAACTTATATTTTATTTAATTTAATTAAAATTAATAATATTAATAGTTTATATTTATTATATTTTAATAAAAGTTTATACAGATTTTATTAATTTATAATAAATATTAATTTTAATATATTAAATTTTTTAACTTTTTATAATTATGTAATGATATTAAGCGATTAGATAATTTTAAACGTGTATGTCATTTTAAAAAAGAAGTAACGTAGAGAAGAAGAAGTAGAGTCTAGGAGATGTGGGTACAGGAAATGTATAAGATG